TCAATTCAATTTAGGGTCACTAGAGACGTCATAAACGAATAAATCATCAACGCCCTTACATTTCTGATTTACTTCAAACCAGTCTTTAATCACTCCCGTTATTAATAAGAAAAATGTATGAAAATTTCAGCGATATCAGTCGAGTACTTTTTTGCGTCTATGTGTGACACATAGATTCTCAATGATTTTTTCGGTGGTCAGTATGGAGCGGATTTTTATGAATTTGCATATTTTTAACCGTTACTTCAGGGTATAGCTAAATGAAATTTCTTGACTTTTTGTTAGAATTCTAGTCTATGCATATTAATGTGTTAATACATTTATGTGCATATTTGGTCGATTTTACCTTTTGGTACATATTCGTGTAATTATAGGCGCATATTTCACATATTTCGTTAAATAGAGACTTATCCATAAAAAGTTTCATCTTTTCATTATAGAATATATTTATTTGTGAGAGTTTATTAATTAGAAAGAGCTTGTTACAGTTTGGGATTTCTTTAATTTTCTATAGTTGATAAAATACTAGTGCAAATATAGGATATTTCCGGATATATTTTAAAGCAAACAGAAGAAATGAAACACGACATACAATGTACTTTACTAAGGTGCATGTATTTATTATTTATTGCATTATTATGTTGGCATAAAAAACATATTTTCATTCCAAGCATGCTCCTTTTGAATTTTATCATGAAAGGTTTATACAAGAAGCGAAATATTGTTAATTTTTATTGCATATCAAAGGGCATATTTAAGAATTTATTAGCTGATAAATGCATATTTTTAAAAGCATATTTCAAGATGTTGTAGTGCGTAAAAATCCTCTCCCTAGTCATCGGAACACGAGCCCTGATTATTACTATTAGTATAATTGTTGTTGTGGTTCTATTAAAGGGCATATTTAAGAATTTATGAGGTCATAAATGCATATTTTTAAAAGCATATTTCAAGATGTTTTAGGACATAAATATCCTCTCCCTAGTCATCGGAACCCGAGCCCTGATTATTACTATTAGTATAATTGTTGTTCTTGTGGTGGTGGTGTGATCGGGGCGGCTGGGTGCGTTGCAGGGATGCGGTTCGCGCTGGCGCAGGTGAAGATGGGCGCGGCGGCGCTGGTGCGCGCCTGCGACATTCGCCTCACGCCGCGCTCGCCGCCCAACCCGCCGCCGCTCGACCCGTCCTCCTTCCTGTACGGCGCGCGCGGCGGCCTCTGGCTGCACTTCGCCCCCCTCGACGCCCGCGCCGACTGACGCGCCAGCAGCACCCAGCACCCGCAAAGCCGTTTCAGGGCAAGCAACAAATTACGAGGGTGAGCCAGAAAGTAACTTAATGAAAAAAATACAAAAACAACCACATGAAACAAAGATGTTTTTATTAGTATTAGCGTATGCACCACTACTGACCACGCCTCACATTTCTCTCTCCGAGACCCCGTTGAATCCTATCCTGCAGAGATCAACGTGTGGAATTATGGGTATCAGCCTTTCGTCTACATCCCTTAATTATAACAAGGTTGTTAGCCTTGAATATCAATAACGAAAATAGCACCATATTATTATTATTGTAATTATTATTATTATTATTATTATTATTATTATTATTATTATTATTATTATTATAGGGTGATGATGAGAGGCGGAATAACTAGGATGAGGTGTTAGGTGAGGAAGTGGGAGGTGTTCGTGGGAATTTGGAACCATCCCAGCATTCACCTTGTGACCGAGGGAAACCACGAAACCCCTGGTCAGGATGGCCAGCCCAGGGATAGAATCTGGATCTCCCGATACTTCGGAAGGAGTTAGATAAATTCATTTAAAAATTTCATTGTTATTTTTATTTATATTTTTGCTTTTTTTCTGCATGTCCTCTTTTTTTACATGTGTGGTGGGGTTGCTACTGATAAGTTTCCTTTCCCGACCCTAGTTGCGCTGAGGTGTTCGTGGCATGCTGTAGTACTAGGAAGCGTGCCGCTGCCACCAGTAGGAGACCTTCACGTCACTGTTGTACATAATTGCTAGTTGTATTGAGATATTTATCGTAACGATGCACAAGATTTTCCATTCCTTCTGTGAATAAATCTGCCGCCGCTGTAGGTTTCAACCTCTGGTTTACATCATCGGCATGAAGTTCTGCATCATTGTCAAAGCGCCGTGTTGCGAGCCAGGTATTCATCGCCGGGAAGAGATGGTAAGCACTCGGCGTCAGATCGGTGGGTGATCAAACACCACCCATCCAAAACAATCCAAGAGTTCACCGGTACGATGAACTGTGAGTGAAAAAACGTTGCAGCGCAAATACAACAGTTTAGAACTCAGCTTTCCCCGACGCGTGTTTTGTAACGCTCACCTAAGTCTTATCAATTGTTTGCAATACCTTTGTGAAATAATTCCTACGATAAATTTCAAATGGTTTCAGTATTTTTACCAGTAAAAACTTTACCACTGAACATATCTCACAACTGGTAGGATTTCCTATTGAAATGCACGTTTCAGTAATTCGCAACTAACGAAATAGAAAAAAAATAGTCCACATGCTACGACAGTTTGATGCGTACTGACAATGAGTTTAGAAACGTTTTGAAGCCAAGAAACCGGTTCTATCTCTACCAATCTCCACGCTAGGCACAAAATTAATTTACTTATTGGATTGCTCTCGTACAAACACCAGCTTTCGTCATAATATTAGCAATATTTAATTTATTTGCTCTTTTGGTCTCAATAGCACAGGTTCTCGTTCAAAGTGGTGTTTTTCTTTATTTAATTTTATATTTTTTCACTATTTACACAAACCAAAAATGTGAGAAATTAAATATTTTACAAAAAAATCGAGTCGAGCGTGAAGGATTGATGGTAAGTCCCGAAAGTATAGTGCATGTTTTATCGTGTGAAGTGACTGATCTTCCCTCGCTGGATAGCGAGAATCGGTGCCGACCTAGACGTCGGCTTGCGGGGCTTCCCCACGAGCGGGGCACCGCCCCAGCCGGGACAAAGTCTGAGCTTCCGACCGGTCTCCCGGCATGTGCGGTAGTAGAGTGCATGAAAGTGTAAGTGTGTGTAAGTAAGGGTTGAGGATAGGACAAGGCAGAAAAGAATGCGGTTGGTAGATTAACGCTCCGGTATTCACCTGGTAATGATCGGAGACACCAATGAAAACTATCAGAGTAGCCGGCCGCTGGAATTCTCTTCCTTGTTGGGACCCCCCACCTAGCCGACGGTAGGTCGGCGCTGGATCTCGCCATACTGCGAGGGAAAGATAACCGCCACCTCCCGAGAAAAACCGAACACTACACTTACGGGACTAATGACCCTGGTAGTTGAAGTGACCGGAACGAAAACAATCAATCAATCGGGAAGTAGCGGTGATCTCCCCCCGCTGGGTAGCCGACCAACCTGCCGACTATCGAGGTTTTACAACCAGGTATCTCCCACCGGTCTACGCTCCCGACCGGTATCCCGACACAATATAGTACATGTTAATGTAAGTGTGACTAAGTAAGGGTTGAGGATAGGACAAGGAAGAAGGAAATATCGCAGTTCCGTTTGTTAGGTTATTGCTCCGACATTCGCCTGGCATTGATCAGAAAAACTGAAAAGCACCTATCAGAGCAGCCGGTTACTAGAATTCTCCTCCAGAAAGCGGCTGAACTTGACCTAGCTATCCAGGCCCTCCCGGTCAGAGGTATTGCAGTAACATCAGTTGATACTCTGAGCCATCTCTCCCTGTACGGTATAACATGAATCGTTACTTTAATTATCAGTTTAAATAATTTAACCTAATTTGGATATGAAACAAATATATATACCTGTATCGGTAAAGTATTTTTATCAGAATATTTTCATCCAAATTCCTATGATTGAGGATGGGCGGGCTAAACAGTTATTACGTTTTATATTTCATTTTGTTATGAAAATGAATAGCTCAACTAAAAAAAAATGACGTGAGAATTTCCGCCGCGATTCCATACTAATCTAACATGTAGATTATTGTTGTTGAATCTATTCTTCTACGACTCGGAAATGCAGGAGTCATCGTGCTGAGTGAGCGCTGTGACAGCATGGAAAGGAGAAACCAAAACATCCCAATTTCTATTCTCAGGTTTAATGTTCTGTGAGGAAGAGGAAAGTCGGTAAACACGCAAACACGCGTTTCCTTATAGACGTCAGTTACTTCACTTGAATTGTTGGGGTAGACGTCCTTCGCACCCTTGCAAATTTTCGTACACAGTAATTAGTCACTATAACTTTTAAGTATAAAATAGAGACCAAACACTTTGAAAATGAGACGAAAAAAAGAAGAAATAGAAAATGTGTATGTACCCGTAAAACTTTTGAAAATGTAAATATATTGGAAACTCCTGAGAGGACAGACAATCGGATGGGCAGACGGACGAACGAACAGCAGACCAGTCGGACAAACGGACAGACAAACGGACGGACAGACAGACCTGCGGACTAACAGACAGTCGGACATACGGTTGTACATGCAAACGGCCCAAAAGCAAACATTTAAAATAAGATGAATATAAGGAAATGAAAATGAAATAAAAATAGTTTTCTTTATTGCCCCGTGATCACAATTCATGTGCGTTGTGAAGCAGATTCCAATCTCGACAGAACAAAGTGCCTCGTTTGGCTTTGTTCAAGTAATCGCGTTGCCGTGGCAGCTTCCAAGCATGTACACCGTAGTGTTATCTGTTGGTTTATTATTATGACGAAAAATGGAGTGTATAAATCGATTTTGATAAACATTTAGTAAATTAGATTTTTGACGATAGATCGCGAGAAAAGAGAAATTCTATGCTTTACATGTCAACACTTCTCAACTTTGTTGCATCGTCTTCAGGTCTGTAATGCAAATGCAGATTATTTCCACGCCCATCATCCTCGCTCTTATTTCATAATATTCTTCATTTCAAATGTTGTCAAACGTTTTTGATTGTGCTTTTCACAGATGACTAAAATTCCATAATGAACTTTTTCCCTGAATTGCGCGTTTTAATGTGATTATCTGGCGAAATTATTAGGCAGAACTATCCGCTTTTCATCATTCAATTATAATAATCCCCCTCCTATCCCCTTCATCCTCCTATTATAATTCAGGAGTTATATATATATCGGGAGATGAAGTATAATCAGCGAAGAGGTAAATCAACCATAATTGTTATACTTCAAACTGGTGGTGCTACAACGGCACATACGTTCTCGCGTTAATTTTTAACTTTTGCAATTTCCGAAAATTCATGGATTTGAACGAAAAAGTCATGTGCCATTCTTTAAATTGTCCTTTATGATATCCGGGAATAAATTGTAACCAAAAACTTTGAAGCCATTATTGAGATTTTTTTAATGTTGAGGCTTGATGTAAAGTATCTCCAAAATTCAAAATATCCGTTTCAAAATCATAGGGCTTAGAGTTCGTTCAGATGCTGATTTGGAAATATGTTTGCTAGAAAATCGTATGAAATTTGGCGCTGGCGTTGACCACAGACGGTCAGACGGACGTTTTGACGTCAATCGATTTTTCTTATCGAGGACTCGCAAAAAAATGGATTCTGATTACACATCGTGTTAGAGGAAGTAATTTACTATGTTTTAGCAACTACACAACAACACAGTACTTTCTCTTCTTACGAAGTAAAACTAAAAAGCACGAATAAATCCGTGTAAATAATGTGTATGTGGCAATGCATATGAGTGTGTATTTTCTGAATATTTAAGGCTTTGCTCTGCTTAAGGATTGGCTCTATTTATTTCAGACCAAGTTCTGCCCAGTTGAGTCGGGCAAGTTCTACGTGAGGAGTCATGTTCGAAAAACTCTACAACATTCAAATCCCGCCACACGAAAATGCTTGTTGTGCGATTTTCACGGCCCGTGTAGCCTTCTCATTTAAGAAGTGCCAAAATCCAGCCGACCGATCGATCGCGGAGGACAAATAGTGCAGTGAAAATGCTTAATAATGGTCAGGGTTGTGACGAAAAAAATTGTCCGTTATTTGGAAGTGGCTGCAAAAGAAATTGCATCAATTTTCTAAATTAAGAAGGCTATTAATCGTCCTTACCTGGAGACCCACGTTTTATGAAAAATGTATTTTTTTACTATTTTTAATGATAGACGTCTAAACAGAATTGACACCAGAAACGGTAGATCACTACCGATTTTAGATTTTGAAAAAAGCACTCGGCCTAAAAGGCTGATAATCTCTCCTTTGGGCCAGGGCCTATAGAATTCCATAAATTGTTTTTACTTTGTCGCTTTTCTATGTACGAAGTAAAGAGAAAGTACTGTAGTGTTGCGGCAAAAATCGGCAAT